GCCGCGGGCTCGCACCGAGCGCGGCCGGGCGGGCTTCGCCGTGGGACGCGGCGGCCGCCAGCACCGATCGGCGACGCGGGGAGGCTGCTGAGGGACCCCGCGCCGGCGCGCCTGGTGCCGGCACTGACCTTCCCCGGCCGGGCCGGCCCCGCCGCTGGAGCTCCCGCCGGGAACGCGCCCTTCACCCAGAGCGGCGATCCCCGCTGCGGGCTCGTGTTCACATCTGCAAACTAACGCTGACCTTCACCGCGGGGTTAACTCTGATGTGCTTTTGTATTAGCTAAATGGGACTTTGTTTAAAAAAAAACCAAACAGATAAGAAAACAAAACAAAAAAAAAAAACCTCTTGCAGAATTGCTTTAAAAAGAACAAAAGTGCTAGACTGGAAGAGTAAAGGTGAAGGAAAGTGGATTCACTGTTTTAGATAGATCTCACTTGGGCTTAACTACTGAACCAGTTTTGGTGTTTGATTGTTTTTTCAACTTTCTTAGACGAGTTTGGGTTAAAACTACACAGAGTAGTGTTTGTTTACGTACAGGGACGCTGTTAGATAGTTTGGTCTCTAAATGTTAATGAGGCTCCAGGTTTTCCTTGAAATTATATTTGGAAAAGTTGGCAAATACTTAAAAGTGGGTGTCCACATTCTGTTTGGAATCTGAATGTGATTTGCTGAGATCTGTAAGTCGTGTCCAACCTGAAACCTTAAAGCTATTAATTTAAAACAAACACAGGAGCACTACCCACCCGCCACCCCCTCGAGGACTTTGAACAGTTCTTGTGTAAGCAAAGTATTGACAGAAATTGCTTGCAAATAGCTGTGTTTTAGAGAACAAATCAGTTATTGATATTTCTCTTTAAAATTGAATTGCTGTTGTGTTTTTGTTTGGCAATAGCTGTGTGGTGGAATATATTCATCATGAAAATGCACCTTTTCCTCTTCACAAAAAGTCGACCATGCAGTTTGGTTGAAAAATGCTAATGTTTAATAGTGTGGTTTAGGAGTGCACATTTTTGTGAATCAGCTAGAAGGTGGGGTCAGGAAGAAGAGATTGCATTCACAGATTGAGCTGTCATTTTGCAAATCCTTTTTTACTCCGTAGATTTTGTGTCGTTGCAGTAGGAACAGACATGTTGCCCCGTTTGTTCCCCCACCCCATCACCTGGCAGGGGAGGAGCAGAGGAGTTTCTCTTTCATGTTTCTCCTGCTGTGCTGGCAGCAAAACTCCACTTGACAGGAGCTGACCCAGTGTGTTCTGTCGGAGTGGCTCCTTGTTTGCCTAGGAGGGAGGTTGCTACTGTTAACGAGCCCACAGAAAACAATTTCGTGATTGCAGCAAAATTTTAAGCCGGGTGTGAGGCGGGAGCTTTGCTGTTTGCTCATATGCAAAGGGCTCATTCCTGCTGGCTTCTGGGGCTGCTGTCCCCCTGAATGTTTATAGGTTAACCCCTTGACTTGGAGGGGTTCCAGATTACAAGGATGGGATGGCATATGCTCTTCAGAGTAGCAGTAGTCGCATGTCAGTGCTGTGGGTTGAAAGGAGATGGGAAATAGTTTCTCTGTGTTCATGGTTTGAACTAGAGAGATCCGGAGGCAGGGGGAGGGCATGTGTAGCAACTGAAATAAATGGTTCATCAAATGTCCGTAAAATGAATGTTGATTGTAGTACAAGAAACAGTGAGATGGAGTCAGTGCTATGAAACCTAAATGGAATGTGAAAGTTAACTCACGTTTGTGTTATCTGTATGTACAATGGAGAAACGAAAGGGTGAGAGGAACAGAAAGTACCTTACTAAGTGAGGGAAGAGATATTGTGAGATACAAAGCATCCAGGCAACTCAGAATTAAGTCAATATCTGTCAAACACTACTAATAATGAATACTGTGAAAATGCACAGTTGAAATCCAAAGAAATTTTAATTTACAATAACTTCATGTGATAGCAATTTGCTTTAAATATATGGTGTGTATTCTGCTTCAGGTAAACAGATTTTTAACGCATAGTTCTTCCAAGTAATAGCTGCATTGTTGTTGGGTATGCAGCATAATTTGAAAATATGTGTTATCAAGTAAGTAATTTAAACAATAGGATTTCTTAGACCTTGTTTTTGTCTGCAGCAATTACTGAAGCTGGTTTTACACTCCGTGTCAGTCTTCAAATCTGCCAAAACTTAAGGGCAAATCAGTCAATTCACTTCAGCATTTGTTGTTCACTGGTTTAAAAAAAATGAGAATTTAAAAATCAAATATAAATAAATAATAAATTTTGCATTTGAGTCAAGGTGTCTTTTAACACTTCCCCCAGCAATTTAAATAAAAGCAGGAAGCTACAATCCAGCACTGAGTGTTCTTGGCACGCTGGTTTCTCTATCATACCAGTAACTCTTCAGAAGTCTCTGTAAGATGAGCAATTAGTTAATTACTTAAAAAATTATAGAGGCTATAAATCTTTTTATGTGTTGGAAACTCTGCCCATAACATTGCAAAATGCCCCTTAAAAATACTTCTGTCTGTTTGCAGCTATATTAAAAAGAAAATCACATCAGTTAAATGGATCTAAATGGGAGGTGCTTGTGTTCTAAATACAATATTTATCGTGATAATAACTGGGAAAAGGCGGAGACAAAAGGAAAACAGCACCAAGCAAAACAACCAAATCACAAATCAAACCATAAACCTACTAATAAAACAAAAAGCACGATACAACAGTGATCATCTTGTTTGTTTCCTTGTTTTTGTAGGAAGGGGGAAACTGGCTTGAAGGGGTGCAAATGAAGGCTTTAATTTTACATTAGGAGAAATCTCTGAAAATCATGCCAAATCAGTTGTTATATCTGTGTGGCCACTCTCCATTTGTGAAATGGAGATAATATTATCTTTTTTGCTCTGGGTTAGGCTCATTAACTGAGTGGGAAGTTCTTTTTGTAAATCATATACTTATTTGACTGCTAAAGGAAGTCTTGCAAAGAATGCTGAAAAGATTTAATAGAAAATGAGAACTTACCAAATGTAATGGTGAAATAAAATAGTGTTTTAAAATAATTACGAAATGTTCT